TAAGATTTAAACACCATTGCTATCTTTCAGAAAAATAAACTTAAGGATTCAATTGTGTTATACTTCAAAACTGAATACATAGTTGGACATTATTAAAATTAGTTTATATATCCTTTTGCACTCTGCGCCAACTCGTTGCAAAATGTGCGAACAGGAATCGCATTACATTAAATATGTCTAACTTTGATAACGTGTCTTTTTTGGTATTATTAGATTCAATTATAGATTTATATAGTTTTCTTGAAGCGTTGATCGTCACTGCAAACCAGAAGAATCATTCAAAAAAGGCTTCAGAATTTTGTTTTTTAATATTTTAATTTTTTTTTGACTGAATTTCGACTGAAGAGAAACCATACATGAATCAAAATGTATCAATAATTTGCTAATAAAAAAAAAAATATATATATAAAGATACTTTATCGTTATATTCAATAATATTAATAATAAAAAAATATGGAAGTTATATATACATAAGGCACGGTTCAATCAATGATGTTAATCTGTGTTTATCTAAATTTTTACATAAAATTTGATACATCAATTTTCGCCAAGCTATGCAAACCAATAGTTAAGAGATATCAGAGCACATAAATGACTATGTCTTGGAAACTTTCCCTACGATTTTTGTGATTCTAACCCATTGTTAAAGTAGCTACCACGTTTTACGGTACACTCTGTATGCACACAAACCTTGATTCGATCTCTCCACACGATTGACTTCGTTTACTTAGGAACGTTCGGTTTAATGATGTGTAATTTCATGTTCAACTCTGCGATGCACTTACTTTTACATTTTTTCTTCCGTATGCTCCTGTGTGAAACCACTTGGCGCAATGTTCTAAATGAGTTTTATCGCAACGTGATTAAGATTCATGGGATTTGCGTTGTTCTACGGGCAAAGTAATTGCTTGAAAATAATTTAGTGAGGTGTTGTTTGGCTTTGGTACGTGATGGCCCAATTACTTTTGAAATTTATTTGTTTATACACTATTGACTTCGTTTTACGATCATTGTTTCTAGCCCTGTTTTAGTATACATTCTATCAAAGCCAAGAAAGAGAAAAAGATACTTTATGGCTTGGAATAAGAAGATTGAATTAACGAGAGAGATTAATTTTTCTTTTTTATTCTGCGTTGGATATATGCTTGAAAGATCCAAGCGTAATGGTCGTATCGTGGTACGTTTACGAAGAAATAAATTAGAAAGAAATTTGGATTCTCGCTAGCCCTGATATAAAACACATCCGTCATTTGTGAGTGTGAAAACTTATTCATAATAATTGAAAACGATACACCAAAAAATGTAATTCCCCGTTTCTTAAATTCTTCTCACTTAAAAATATACACGTGATTAATTTATGAATACTAACATACTGAACAAGGTTGAAATTATAGTTGCAAACCATTATATAACCTGATAAAACTACATTTATGTCAAACATATTTTTACAAGCAAGCTATCATTTCAAACATTATTTCTTAAATTTCAGTCATAAAATATATGAACTTATGAAGGTTGAAATTATAGTCGAAAATCATCATATAACGTGATAAAACAACAATTACGTTAAACATATTTTTATGTAGAAGCAAGGTAACATTCGAATAATTATTTCTTAAATTTCTGTCATAAAACATATGTTTATTGATTTGCGTTATACTTGATGTTCCCCCTAAGGTGTTACCGGATATGTCTCTGTGGCTATTAGAGTAGCAATGAAAGTTTTCTTGCGGTTTTTATGACGCCGAGGGACCTTTTATATGACAGATAGCGAACAGAATGGTATCTATACAGGGTGACTCTCGTAATATGATCAGATCATATCTGGCTTAGTGTCTGTAGAAGAAAATGGTAAAAAACGAGGCCGACTACGACTGTCCATCAATGTCTAACTGTTTATGGCACTACTTCTTCTGCTAATGCGATAATGCATCCGCGAGTTAATAGTACTTGGGCTATTTCTTTAAATGGATCATTTATGTTATATACAAATTAATTCATCATAGAATTTTGGGTATAATATCTATAGGATAAAATATTTGAGAATTGAGTAGAACAGATAAAATTTGTTATTTAATGAAATAGTTATAAATTCTTTCTGATGAATGTGTAATTCAGCTGATTCTGTTAATAAATATTATTTATATAGTAAATGTTTCTCTATTACTGTTAGTTAAGTAAATACTTTGCTACCAAGCTCGCAAATAATTCATCTTTGCGAAAATACTTATTTTCCGAGTTGTATCACTTCAGATATATGCAAATGTACGTATTAAAGGTGATACTTTTAAAGACGTATCGAAAGCAAACAGCGCGGAGCTATTTAGGTATAGCAGAATTTGTGACTGAATCGAGACCTGAATAGCTATTAGGGATTATGTGTAGGATTTAGCGATTGGGGTGCAAACGAGGCAACGTCTAGCGATTTGTAATTATATAGCTACCTCTGCCATAATTCTATTACGATCCAAATAAAATAAAACGAAGGAATCGAATGTTTTATATTATTATTTACATTATTTTAGATTCGAATGTTATCATACATAACATAGTTTAGTAATTTTTGAACGTCACAATTAATAGGCTGTAATAATGTGACTTTTAAACAGCCTTGAAGACAAATTTATGTTGGCTAGACGAACGTTCTTGACAAGACGGATGTTACGTTTATGTAATACATTGGATAGTCACGAAGAGAATTCCAGTAAACGATAAATTGAATGATTGTTTGGTCAACCAGGAGGAGAAAATTTCGGCGTTCTACTAATAACAGATACGATATGAATGGACAAGTTATGTGTTTCAATCGGGACATTTTCATATTGTACATAACGCGTGGTCGATATCCGCGATTGGATCTGTCATATCATTTCAGTTTGATTATACAGTATCCGATTATGCAGATGTCCCACATGTTTTCGTACAAACTTTACCAGCATGGTTTTTGACTGAAAATTAAAAGACAGTGTCGTATAGATAAATGCGGACTCGTGAAAGCACGAATAAACATTATTCCGGTAATCAATCAATTTTTATCTTTTGCCAATATTTAATCAATTTATAATTTTAATAAATGTCATTTCTTATTTTCTAGTTAACATTCACATAGAAACGAACACAATTTGATGTTTATAGATGAAATTGAATGGAACGAAAGTATAGTTCTAGATAGTTGTAAAGCCAATCAAATTTACGTTTACCTTATTATTTATGACTCTGCGCAAGAAATGAGAACGTATTTAAAAGTATGGCACAAAGTAAGTGTGGCACCAGAGTACATCTTGAAAAAAATGCGTGCGATGGTTAACACGTTAATAGGTTGTTCTCAAGGGTCCAATCCTCGTTTGCGGCAATTATAAGGGTGAGGTTTTTTTTTCTTTCACAGTGTTAGTAATTACGGATTTAATTTCAATTTTTAAAGCGGTCGGTATCGCTCCAACCCTACCCTACCGCGTGACATAGTTGTCGTTTTTATCGTTATCTCAATACTTAATGTTTTCGCTGCGACGAGGTTTTCAAAATACATCCTAGGACCACTGTATTTCTATTATTTTTAGACGGTTCTTAACTCTAAAAATCTGTTCCTAAAATGCATTCTTTAACTAGTCTGTAAAAATCATTTTAGAAAATCATTGGCACAGGCAAGAGAAATTCTCAAACATGACATACAACCTTTATTTTTAGCCCTCCTAGGTGTATAGCAAGCTTTCAGTAAACTCAAAGACTCACGTTTACATACCATTTTCTTCTCAATTTTAGTCGCAGGACACGTCGACAAAACCTATACGTATTCTCGCGAGACACCGTGTATATCGCAGCGATCAAACGTAAACGGAATATATAATTTTCAGGAAAATTTTTGAATTCCCGTCGCACGTTATCGGAACACGAACACTGAGTTGTTTAAAATGGGAAGGGTGTTAAAGACGACAGCGATTCGATGCCGTGGTGACAGTTTAAAGAATAAGAAGTTCGTGCTTCACGGATCTGGCCATGTAAACGGGAATGCCAAGGGTGCCTTCCGGCGAAAAGACTGCGGGAGACAGCGCGGCACTTATCCTAGAACCGCTACATCGAAAACACATTTCATTCTTTTAAAAAGTAAAATTTCAAACCTTTAAGAGTATAAAAATGTTGTATTTTTCGTCAACGTTTCCCGCGCCTTACCTGGGGGGGGGGGGTGGGTGCGGCGGTATATAAATCACTCGTTTTCAAATGTTTTCAAGAGCGTTCTTCTCTGAGATAGAAGAAAAATATTTTTTTTTTCGCTGAAAATAAGCTTAGATAAGTGTAAGATAAATGGTTTTATCCGTTTCGATCTGGTTGTTTTCGATTTGGCTTTGATTTGTTTCTCCGTTGGAATAATTTGAATTTTATTAATACATTGTAGGCGAGTTCGTGTGCGGAATAACATATTTAAATTTTTGAAAGAATAGTTTGATAGATTTTTTTTAATTCAAATATCGTTGAGTCGTTCGATACTTTGGAGAAAATTTAATTACTTTATGTTGCTACGAAGTCGAAGTAAACAATTAAATAAGATAATGCTGTTGTCTTTTGTGAATTCAAGCTGTTGAATATTATAAGAGAGGTAGCGTCTAAAATATGTATGTATGTGAATCACGTTTGTACGTCTTAAACTTATTTGGTTAATTTAGCTAAAAGTATCGAATACTGACTCTCGACTATGTAGATCCCATAAATCTTTTTTTTTAATCGATCTCTTCGTAAAATTAAATCACATTACTTTATTTTATTTCTTTTCAGAGATACAGTGAAACCATTATTGACATTCTATAATTAACAACGAGTTAATATAGTTAGACATTGCTTTCTTTCATTTTTAAATATGGTAGTAAGCCGAATGGACTGAAACTTATATTCGGTGGTGGGGTCATGAATTCGTATAAGTAATCGTTTATAGATATATTATTACCTAAAATAAGTTCATTGCTATTGACAATTTTTCCATGATCAAACAGTTTGGTAAATGTGTTTAGGTGCATCATGCTGAAAAGATGCATACCAGCCGTGGCTCACTTTTTTCTTCGGATTCGGGGTAATGGTCGCAAAACAGAAGCCACTTTACCACAGACGGGCGATAATCGGGAATGGTAAGTCTCGCTTTATGTAGATTCGTATAATGGGAATGCGAAAGACGACATAGCACTAGTGAAAAGAGAACGAGAAAATGTCTCACAGTAGATCTATTCAAAGTATAATATATACTTAAGTTACACACAGTATATATACAAGTTACACGTCGAACATTAAATGTGCCATTTAAGAAAGTCAAGGTGACCTTTATTTTTTATAGATGAAAAGATTTGGAAAATGTTCACATTGGGATTTTTAGTCGACTTAGTACCAACTCCCTTTTGTTCTAAATATTTTTTTTTGTCAAATTATATGACACACCTGAAAAATCATACTGTTATGGTGAACATTCTGTATTTTCATAATTAAAAATATAGCTACAACAAGACAATAACCATCTACATTTCTAAACCTAAATGTTTTTCTAATCGTTGCATTGTCTAACGAAGTATGTATAATAATATCGCATAATGTATTGCGCATCAACTGTTAGAACCCTGAGAATGTTGATGCAGGTATATCCTATTTCTTGTTAGACACAGCGTGTTTCGCATGTTTTAATTAATCCGCGGTGGTTACAATTTCATGTGCCGGAAACACGTGTAACGAACTCGTTACCAGTTGTACTACCCCCTGGCTACATGTTTCTCTTTTGCGAGTAAATAGTGAAGGCGCAGTCATAAATCGACGACTTGTTCGCGTTTATACCGAAATAACGAAAAGTACAGTAAAGAGTATATATGTAGTTGCACGATCAATGCGATGCGAGAATAGCGAATCTTCGAATGTAGGGCAGAATTCATTTTATACAAAAAATAGGAGACATGAGGCATAGTGGTAGGAAACAAACTTTTTTTCAAATTTCTTACAGAGAAATTTCTTATCATGCTACGTATAAGATACTAACAACTGATGAACTTCCTGATTTAAATGACTATAAAACCTCGGAAAATTTAGCTCTTACGAACCAACCACAACCAACCACTTCTGAACATATGCGTCAAAGAATGATCACAGAATGTGGTAATATTAAGTTCATCATTCTAAATAACGTGCATCATTCTTTAAGAAATACATTACAACGATGTACGAGCGAGCAACGGCCATCAATTTGAACATGTTCGAATTCTATAGTCGTTCAGGATAAAGTGGATAACCAAGGAAGTTCGATACACTCGCTTTATGTCAATGTACAGGAAGTTTATTGCTCGGAAGGCACACACGTTGAATTTGAAGGAAATGTGAAAAAATAATGTATGCAATGCTATTTATATTTGTATTGTTCCAATATTTCTGAAGCTGACATTAGTATGTATTAAAACAAATACGTATAAGATAGAATTTAATATTCAGAAAAAAAAAAGCAGAACGAAACCACTTAGATCCACCGAGTTAATTTTTGCGTAAGCTGACCTCGGACGTAATTAATTTACATCACAACGAAAACGACCGAGTTGGAAACTATCCAAAACTTTCAATACACGAAGGTCGTGACATGCTTGAAAAAGCTCGTGCCCTTTGTTTTAGAAAAATAATTAAATTCCTGCAACGATTATGTTCGTTTCATTAATGTTCGAATTTTTCATTTTCTAAATTTTAAATATCCGTGAACATCTTTACTTCACTGTCAATTTTATAGAAACACAGAGAGATCTTAAAATTCGATGAAAATTTTGAATCAAACAACGAATGTATTACAAACTAATACAAATAATAATACGTCACAATCCAATCTGTAATATCAACTCAGATTTTTAAGAGCTAAGATTATTCTATTTTGACCAAAGTTAAATGTTTGAATCTTGCAAATGTGTCAGAAATTAATAATTGTTGACAGTTTGTATACTAGTTTTTCAGAAAATTATAACTATCGGAAATTAACTACATAGTTAACGGATAAGAATGAGATTTTATGAGGTTACAGTGAAGGCATAGGAGTAGCAAATGAACGTTATTTCAGTTAAACGAAAATGTATGGTCAGACCAACTAGGAAGACAAAGGTAACAAGTTTCACTGAATAACATTTTTATTGTAACATAAAGGACGATATACAAACGGCAATGTACGCGTGATATCTAGACAGACGGACACGAACATGTGTTTTGTTTTAACAAAACACTGCGAGCGACAGCCGCGAGCTGATGGTTTCGTGATATTGCATGACAGCAGGGTACTGTATGGCTGACGACAAGTCGCTCTAGAATATCTCCCAGAAAAAATATACTTTACTATCTTTTTTGCAATGTTTCAAAACAATTGTGATCTTTTTAATGGTTTTTGGCTATCTAACAAATTGAAAAAGATGGAGAAATTTAAGTTAATGTTCGTAGTACTAATTTCAAGATGCCCATCTTTTTGAAAGTCTCTCTATAAAAAAGATAAATGGGGCTATATTCTGATTTTTTTTTTTCAAATTTTTAAAAGTACGCGCAGAAGCAAGGCATTTGCTTAAAATAATTTAACGAAATACGATTATAAAAGTTGTTGTTTAAACTGAAAATATTCTTTTTGCTATTTTTCTCTCTTTGCTATAAGACCGTGAAAATTTATTTTCATCCGTTGGCTAGTTCGATACTTGAAATTTCTTGAGAAAAAGGCTTACATTAAAACTTGTATCGTAAAGAATCTTATAACGTAGCATAAAGACAATGATCAATCAAAGAGAATTTGGAATTAAAGTTACTAGTGGCGCAGTAATCAACAAATGCGTAGTCGCTGAACGTCAACTAAGAAATGAAGTAATGGAAGTAAATGGAAGTAAATGAAGTTGCTGGTCTGAGGAAATGAAAATTAGTGCATTTCAAGGAATTTGGAAGTAAAGTGCGATAAGATAAAGCAACGTTGTAGAAGTTTTAAGAAGGATACGAGAGTTAGAACGAGGTAGAGTTCGTAGGGCACGGATGACATCGTATTTATGGGAACGGGTGACGCGGTGTTTCCACAGGAGAAGTTACACATAGATTAGGACGTGATATTACATATTCAAACTATGCATCTTGCTCTCAAGACATGCGCATTGCTCGAATCTGAAATCTTGCATTCCAAACAGTCGTTCGATAAATCAAGAGGATCATTCAAATATAAACTGGAATTTTTATACACGGCTTTATCGAGGATAGATAAAAATACAAATGGATTGTCTTATTTTTCTACGTAGCTTCCTTCAACGGAAATACATTTTCTCCATCGGATAGGAAACTTTCTGATTCCATCATAGAAAATAGAATTTAGATGTCCCAGTTGTCAATTGCACACGTACAGTTAAACAAGTACAGACAATTTATTTTTTATTGCAGTTGACTTTGAGTGACCTCGAATGATCTTTATAATTGGTCATTATACTTGTCTTGAAACACTCTACCAGACTGTAAGTAAGAAACCATACCATTCCATTTAAAAAAAACGGAATTGATCTTCATATTTCCTTAACGTCTCCACCTACAGAAAAATTGGTAATACCAGATTATGAGCCCCCCAATGCCAAGTAAGTTTGGTCATTTTTTGGTTTGCATTTTCTTTTATCTTCAAAAACAAGCGAGTTATTTAGGTGACCTGTTTAAAATGCCTCACCCTGTATATATGTATATATAATGCGTGAATTTCCTACTGCGCTTATATAAATAATATTCCTTGGGAAAAACCTTCTATATTAATTCGTCAGCTAGTTGAAGTAGTGAATTGACTAATACTTGATTATTCAGATCTGAAAAAGCATATCATTATAAGAGATTATCATTGGGAAGCATCACACCCAGTTAAATTTTCTTGTAGCTCTTAGTTCAATTAACATTAATTAACCAGCTCTTCTGTTATGTAGTAAAATTGGCCCAGCAACCATTCCTTTCCAAAGTGAATAAAGTTTTTAATAAATTTCTTTATATTTAATAGACTCTAAGATTACATCACTCGTTTAACTGAATAAACGGTAGATTGCAAGGCATAACTTACCTCCTGTGTTCGTCACTTGTTGCTTCTCCCGTGGTGTACCAGAGCCCTTAATTAATGGAATCTCAGCCACCAATCTTGCAACACTAAAATTTTCTGTAAGGTCTGGGTTAGGTCCTGCGAGGGTTATCTCTGCGAGGGTTATCTCTGCGAGGGTTATCTCTGCGAGGGTTATCTCTGCGAGGGTTATCTCTGGGTTAGGTCTGGGTTATCTCTGGGTTATCTCTGGGTTTGGTCTGGGTTAGGTCCGGGATAGGTCTGGGTTAGGTAACATCGTAACATCGTAACAGTAACATCGTTACACTAACAGTAACAGTATCATCGTTACAGTAACAGTAACAGTATCATCGTAACAGTAACAGTAACAGTATCATCGTAACAC